CTAAATATCACTCTCAGTTTCAATCTGTCTTTCACGCTTCCACGTCTGTGTCTGAAGCTAAATCTACCCTCTGTCATTTGAAAATCTAATCCTCCACATTTCATCTCTCCTCTGAGTGCATTTCCTTAAAAGTCTCCACTGTCCTCCCAGCACACAGCAACCCCAAAAAACATCTCATTATGCCCCGTCATTGGAGCACCAGAGACAGTAACAGATGAGGAAGCATTATGCTTGTTCAGTGTGAACGATTATTCACACGACAGCTCTGTTAAACCCGCGAATACCCTGTACTTGTCAAAATCTCAGAGCGATGCAAAGTCACGCTCAGCGAGGAAGCGATGCCAAGTGCGGTGCTAGCTGAGCTGCTCCCCTCCAAATCCATGCTGAAGTGTGCGTGAAATCCTGATGTGTAGTGTCGCCTCGGTGTTATCTGAAGCAGCCTTTGCTTTGTGTGAGGTAATTTAAGTGAATAAAAGGAAGGCAGGTGGAAGGCGGAGGGTGAAGAGAAAAGACAGTTTGGAATAAAAGCATTTGCCAAGGCCATATTAACCTACGAGAGGGTTGTGGGGCAAAAATGAGCAGGTCCCAATTGGCCTTCCTGTTCTCTATGCAGTGTGTGTGTGGCCTGTTGCCCTTAAGTACTCATTGGGCACGGTGCAAAGTTAAAACTAAATGAAAGCTTCATTATATTTTGCTCAGAGCCCCAGAAACTAACCAGTACTACTATACTGGAATATTACCCTTTCTGTATTTATCTTTATATTTCTGTATGTATCTTTCTGTCCGTAGATTGTGATAAATTAATTGAACATGAATATATATATAAGCTATATAAGCGTAATATTAAATTACATAAGAAAGGTATTTAAACTTAATTGAATAACTTTTGAATACTTCCACATTTTGGGATATACACATATTAGCTTTCTTGCCAAGAGTTAGCCTAGCTAAGAAGATACCACTCTCAAGTACACTAAATATGAAGCTAGAATCGGTGGACGGTTAGCTTGATTTAGCAGACAGACTGGAAACAGCTAGAAAGAAAATCCGCCTATAGGCAGCTCTAAAGATTCATACTTTATTTACATATATAAATATATATTTATATATAAGATCAAAAACAGGAGTTATTTAATGCTCTACTTCTTGGTGGGACCTGTGAGTGCGGTGAGGTAACACTACCCTGGCTGTAGTATTTCACTAGCGTACAGACTGGTTTCAATCTGCTCTACTAACTCTGGGCATGAAAGCGAATAAGCACATTTCCCAATATGTTAAGCTATTTCTTTAATGGTAAACTATTTATTAATGCTTTAAAGATCATTTAGAAGGCATCACGAAAAAGTGGGGGTTGCCAGGTTGTGAAAAACACCTTCAGGTGGTGTTCACTCTTTTATTTGGTAATATTAAATGTTGATCATCAATAAAGCAAAGTTACAGCATATAAATCTTTCATAAATAGTGGCTTATTAAAAAGTGGTGTCATCAAAATTACTACCAAACTTAGGGCTTTCTCTGGGTCTAATTCAGCCTCACTTGTTGCTCCATCCATACAAAAAATGCTTTCATACCTCACCTCACCTCCCATGCACTAAATACCAAAACTGCCACAATATAATGGAAACCCCAATTGGGAGTATAAATGATGTCAATTTGACATTCTGCCCTCTGCAATGCTGCCAGGACAACCTCTACATCATATCTGCACCACAGGGCTTTCCCATCTATCAGAGGCGCACCAGAGGAGCGAGTGGCTCGTTCCCAGCTTTAATGACACTTAGAGCACATTAGGGGCTGTGGTTACATGGGAGGAGAATCACTCGAGCGGAGTCTGACCATTGAAGCGCTGAGCCGTAGAGCTCGGAGGAGGTCGCAGTTCACCTTGTATGTTAATTAAAATGGCTTTGGAATCGCTTGCGTGAGTGCTCCCATGGGGGACTGTGGTGTTGTATTTTATGTAATGAACAGATTGATTCTGCCGATTGCCGCACCTGGTTTGAAGTAAACCACTCAACGTGTCATTATATCCCGCAGTGAGAATACCCTGACATGCTTATCATCAATATTACTATTGTACTGAATTATTCTTATGTCTGCTTAAACCACTTTACAGTTACAGTCTATCTGTAAGTTAGACAGTGTACTTTTTCTCTCCAAACAAGATGAAGAAATGATGGAATATCTGAAGTAAAAAATAATTAAAGACATTGTGGGATCCATCTTGAAATATGCTGAAAAATCCAGACTGATCAGATGGCTTGCTTTCATACTATAAACAGTAAAACTACATGAATGCAGCCCTTTAAAGTTGAGCTTGTTCATGTTTCTAAATGTAATTACACAACAAAATATGCGGTCAAATCACAGCAATAAGATCAGGCAGTGTATCCAAATTGAACTTGTGTTAATTAATGTTAAAGCTTGAGTAAGGTTCAGGTGATGGATAAAGTATGTGAGTAGAGCATATTAGGATGGACCAAAGCATTTGTTGTTCAAAGCAACACTATGGAACCTTTGAAAGAAAGAAGATGAGGCAAATTAATTTGGTGCTAGTTTGCCAGCTATTCGGTGCTGGTTTGTCCTGGGTTTTAAGGTGGGTGTCACTTTAAATGTCCTGCATTCAAGGTTAGTAGAATTTTTTTTTAGAATTTTTTATTCCATAGACAAATGTATTATTGAATTATTTTACAGATGCATTCATGTCCAAGTCACATTAACTGGTCCAGTTGGCCAAGCTGCTAGTTTTAACTACTGTTGGATAGTTTATAAGGAATATTTTCTATGATGATGACATTGTTTGTTTGTAAAATCACAACCTGCAGCCGTCAGATAAATGTGTGATATGTATAGCGAAGTACAGTATAACGCAGCTTTATATGGGAAAACTAAAGTAAAGTGTGTCAGGTTGTCTTTAAGTTACACACTCATCAACACGAGTTCCCCATACTCATCAAAAAGTGTAATGGCTTTAACCAGCCTAGTTCTGCTCCTTCCTTATTACCTGACCTGCTCTTCCTTAACACCTTAGCCCACGGTGAGTCCAGGGATGGTCAGAGAGGAGAGTGATTAATGATAATAGATATTCCAAAGATAGCCAACATGTCCTCCTCTTTTTTCCCCACATACAGACGTCTTATGGAACAGCTCCATGTGTAAATGAGGGGAATGGAGGAGGAATCAGCTGTGTTGAGAGACTTCAAAACAAGTTAATGAAAGATTTATCAGCACCTGAAATGAGTGCAGGAGCAGATAAGGCACATACATGTGAGCTAATTAACTTGGCAGTGTATGGTTTGATTGATTATGGTCAATTAATAGCTGGAGTCCGTCTGTGTGAAGTCATTTGTCATTCTCTGACTTCCATGACTCAGGCGCTCGTGTTACCTGCTGACAGGACTGCTAATATGTTTGAGTCAGAGCAGTTCATTACTCATTTTAGTTCCATTGTGTTTCTCTGTGGCCTGTTTCACATATCCTCTGCCTTGTGTCCTTATGTTCATTTACTGGCTCGTGTTATTTATAGTTTGATTTCACCCTGGGTAGTTTGACTCAGCACACTTGCTCTTTTTAGCAATGCGCTGGCGCTCCGGGGCGTTAAAAACTAACCTTTTGGTCAAGCGGCCACGGTGGCAGCCGGAATTCAGTTGGGCAGTTCTTTGTAACCAGATGAGTTCTTGAAATTAAAGGAAAAAAAGGAGCGACGGAGAGGTGGCCACCTGCCAAAGCGGCTGATAGAAGTGAGAGAGTTCCAGCCAGAATCTCCCAGCATTTGGCAGGTGGCTGGTGTTAATGTGCAGCCTTGGCTCTGCTGAAACGCTTTTCCACGGCTCCACATATTCCTACCTCGCAGCCTCTTCCTAATTATGTTTTCTCGCAGTATGGAGCACCAGCTTATTATGCTGCATGTCTGTGTGTGTCACCGTGAACAGGGAAAATCAGTGGAGGAGGCATCTCCACTCACTGTTTTTTGCCATCTTAAGCAGAATGCAAAAATAAAGCCTGGTGAGATGTGGATTATTGCTGAAGATACAGAATAATGTGTTCCATTGTGATCCCTCCGCCAGCACTGATATCACAGACGACTGTGGAAGGTATTGTGCTTTCTGTCCCTCTCTTACAAATCAGGACATGTGGAGATGTTTTCTCCCCTACCAGCAGAATCAGAAAGGAGCTGTATATTTAGTCTCCTTTAACTGTACTATCACGGGTGTCTGCACTCTCACTGTCCTGCTCTCTTTATTTCTGCTCTGTGAGCAGACACATGGGCCGCTGTCTGACAGACAGGCAGACAGACTATTAGCTGTAATTGCCAGAGGATCAGTCATCCCAAGTGCATCAGGTCTGTTTGCTGTTTCCATGCGAAAGGCAGACTCAGGGCAATATAGGCTGAAAGACCTGACCCAAATCTGTCTTTACATAAGGCCCTGCTGCATGATGGAGATGTTGCTCTGGGAGCAAATAATTAGATTATTCAAATATCATAATGCAGTCAGTCAGATTGGCACTGGTGTGTAGCTGAGGCTTGATTAAAGGCAGAGGGAGGGAGCAGAGCGGGGAGATGGGGGGAGATTACACTCTACAAGATTTCCTAATTGATCTGGAAGGAAGGCTGTTTAATTGATCTAGGATGCTGCGCTGGGGTGCCACCATTTCTGCATATCAAATTGGGTCAGAGGGAATGTGTGAGGTAGCCAAACAAAGAGGGAAGACTGGGAAATGTGACAAAGTGGTGGAAACGCTGGTATGAATGATGGAGCAGGAGCTGAAGATACAGGTGCGCACCTGTCGTGTGGAGGAAAATATGTACAGAAATCTAATCCTGCAGTGTTTAACAGTGCAAAACTGCCGGAATATACATCTGAAATGAGTGGACTCGCAGGGCTGTGGGCTGTCGAGCACTATTACGCACAAATATCACACCTGCGCCTCCGACATGCACACAGACAGACATCAAACACGCAAATAAGATACAGAAATTCTACCAGTTCGGAGGTACTTACGTGCCATATTGCAAAGAAGATCAGGGACACACAGAGGACCAGAGACAGCATGTAGCAGAAGGCAGCAAAAGTGAACATAATTGAAAGGGGAAACGGTGGATAATTTCCCAAAGAAGCACGATCCGGCTGACAAACATCTAAAACAATAAAAGGGGGGAGCCAGGAAGAAAGTTCTCACGGTGCCATGAGAAGCCGATGCGGTACCGGCACCATGACTTCGCCCCTGGCAGTGTTTGCAACAAATTGTTGCAGAAATCCTCTCCAGCCGTGCCGCGCGTCCACCCAGCAGCGCTGATGTGACTCTGAAGTCAAGAGCAGCTCTCAGATCAGTGCACTTGGCATGTTCAGCCTTCAGTGTCCACAGTGTCGGTGATGTATGTGATCATGAAAAGAAAGGAGAAGAAGAAGAAGGCAGCGGGTCCTCTCAGGGAGGAGTGGGAACTAATGTGAGGAGCTTCTGCGCAAAACCATCCGAGAGAGGTGAATCTGTAGGTAATCCATTCAGCCGCGGCGGAAGGAGCTCTGCTGGCTCTGTGCTGCTGTCATGGTGTTGTGAGAGGAGCTCCTCGTCACTTCAAGCACAAGGCGTTAATAAATGCTCTTTTCTCTCCCTGACAAACCTATCAGAGCGCACGAAGGCGCGTGAACAGGTGGATTTACAAAGAGCAGCGCCCGGTGTGCCCGCCCGCCCGCGCGTCCTCGTGCGCGTGTGTGTTTGTGTGTGCGTTCAGATGTATAGTTTTACTGTGGCTTGCTGTCAATATTGCCAGTGCATTTTGGATCATGTGGGTGCCACATTATTTGGAACTTGCGCATGGTTCTGAGTTAATTGATTGGTTACAAAGACGAGCCATTCTTTCTATTTGTGTGACTTCTGAGTGCGTAACCAGCTCAATACCACGCCATTTGCTACGCTCACCTGTACAAAATGCCCAGATCAAACACTTAATGCACTATGCTGTTACATACTGCAGACAGGAAGCATTCAGTCCAGATGACAGAAATATAACGCACAGATTGATCCCCACTCACAGAACACGATTCTCTTACAGGCAGTGATCATTTCGATTTGGGGGAAAACTAAGTGTTTCATTGATGATTACAAAGACAACCATCGTCTTGGAATGAGGCATACTGTATATTAAAACTGTGAGACGGGCGCCACCGTCTGGCGCTTTTATAAACTGCCTGTCATTGTGCTATAGAGCAGACGTTATTCCTTAAGGAGCCCTTTTCTATCATTTAGTAACCTGGTGACCCCTGACTCAGTGACATATTTTATAGATATTTCATATTGTATTCAAAACTAATGAACTAATGTTATATACTATTATTATTAGCAAGTTGCACATCTTGGAAGGATGAGACTTGTTTTATTTGTTGTTAATAATGATAATTGTATGTAATGTATTAAAGGACCAGTGTGTAGAATTTAGTGGCATAGTGGCAGAGGGAGAAACTCCAGTGGCACACAAAAAAAATGGCCCTATCTACAGCCAGTGTTTGGTTTCACCGTTCTGGGCTACTATAGAAACATGGCGCTTCAACATGGCGTTCCAACATGGCGGACTCCATGGCAGGTGACCCGCAGCATATCTAGATAAAAACAGCTCATTCTAAGGTAACAAAAACACAATGATTACTATTCCGGTGATTATACACTAATGAAAACATACCTATGAATATTACATTCCATTTCTGACA